AAAAAAAAAAAAAAGGGTGGGGGGGGGGGGGGGGGTTCTAAGTAGTTCGTCGTGAATATTTAGAAATTTTCATGTCAGCTCCATTTCGTCACACCGTGAAGACCCAAAAAATAAGGTGTGTTTACATTTTTTTTTTACATCATTCCACCGTGCGGGAAATATGTTTAAAGTTTGAGAGGCGCTGTCATAAGGAGATGCGATGTCGCAAAAGTTTTACTACCATCGGCTCTTGTAAGTCTGGGTTTAATATTACTAAGTTACTGGTCGCACGTTTCGTTTAAAGACAAATTCTCGGTTTCTGCTTTTAAGAAAATTGGGTAAATCCATTTTATGTTAAGTGTCTTACATCGGAGCACTCATATTAAGTTAACCCATTTGAGAAACACACACACATACACACTAACGTTGAACCATTTTTAAAAAAAACAAAACTCTGACCATGACGAGTGCCAAACAGAGCGGAGCACAACAGACCTAAGCATAGCAGAGCTAATAAGAGCAGAGCACACTACCACACAGCAGAGCCCAGCACAGGAGAGCAGAGAACAGCAGAGCAGAGTCCACATAGCACGGTACAACAAAGTACAGTAAAAAAAGAGCACAGCCCAGCAGGGCACAGCACAACAGAGCAGAGCTAAGCAAAGCAGAACAGAGCAGAGCACATCAAACAGCACAACAGATCAGAGCCAAGCAGAGCAAAACACAACAGAGTAGAGCCCAGCAGAGCACAGCACATCACAACAAAGCAGGGGCCCACATAGCACAGTACAGCAGAACAAAGCAACAAGGGAGCAGAGCACAGCAGAGCATAGGTAAGCAGAGCAGAGCTAATATAGCAGAGCAGAGCACAACACAGCAGAGCAGATCATAGCAAAACAGTAGAGTGTAGCAGAGCACAGCACAACAGATCAGAGCCCAGCAGAGCAAAGCAAAGCACAGTACAACAAAGAAAGTACAAAAAAAGCAGAGCAAAGCAAAACAGAGTAGAGTTCAGCAGAAAAAAGCACAAAAGATCAGAGTCCAGCAGAGCACAACAGAGAAGAGCACAGCAGAGCCCAGCAGAGCACAGCAAAGCCCAACAGAACAGAGCTCCGCAAAGCACTGCACTACAGAGCAGAGCTCAGCAGGGCACAGCACAGCAGAGTAGAGCTAAGGGGAGCACAGCACATCATAGCAGAGCCCAGGAGAACACAACAGAGCAGAGCCCAGCAAATCACAGCTCAACAGAGCAGAGCACTGCAGAACATAAAACAACAGAGCAGAGCCTAGCACAACAGGACAGAGCCCATCAAAGCAGACCAGACGTAAATAGAGCACAGCATAGTTAAGCACAGCAGATCTTAGCACAACAGAGCACAGTCCGGCAGAGCACAGCACAACAGAACAGAGCAAATCACAACAGGACAAAGCCCAGCAAAGCAGAGCAGACGTAAGCATAGCAGAGCACAGCAAACAGAGCTGAGACCAACAGAGCACAGCAAAACAGATCAGATCCGAGAAAAGCAGAGCAGGGGTAAGCAGGGCAGAGAACAGCACAACAAGGGCACCACTGAACAGAGCAAAGCACAGCAGAGCACAGCCCAACTGAGCACAGCACAGCGGAGCAAAGCACAACAGAGCAGAGGAAAGCAGAGCACAGCAGACTCTGAGCTTAATTTTATGGCAATTAAAACAAAAACAAGTCTGCAATAATGTTGGTGACCAGTTTGAAACCGTGCACCACTGCTTCTAGCCGTAACCCGATACACTCTCTGAGTCACGAGCCATTTCATCGATTATATCCTCTAAGATAATACGTAGGTAGTCGCAGGCAGAGTGCACATGGGCACATGACACCTGGAGTAGAATTATATTTCTAATCCATAAAAGTTAGAAACTACAATTAAACCAAATGTGGACAAAATTAATGTATTCTATCATTTTAAAGTAAAAAGAGAGATTGAATGGCAAAGTCATGAAAAGGGCCTCAGCATGCATCAACGAAACCGCAAGTTGCCGACTTCTGTGTTAGAACAAATCAATAAAATATATTTTTTATAAAAATCTATTATTGACACTACCACTTGATGGGGATGGGTGGATCTTGTTTCATACTTGAAGGAAATATAATGAATTACTACAAACATGCATGGTGGATAGAGGAGCAGGAAAAGTCTAAACGAATAATAATAATAATACAAATATACAACTGATACCTGTATTATAATATCTACATTCAAGAATAGACTTTTCAAAACTCCCTGGCTCGCACATTATGTGTTATAATTGATAACTTTTATGTGTTATAATTGATAACTTTTATGTGTTATAATTGATAACTTTTATGTGTTATAATTGATAACTTTTATGTGTTATAATTGATAACTTTTATGTGTTATAATTGATAACTTTTATGTGTTATAATTGATAACTTTTATGTGTTATAATTGATAACTTTTATGTGTTATAATTGATAACTTTTATGTGTTATAATTGATAACTTTTATGTGTTATAATTGATAACTTTTATGTGTTATAATTGATAACTTTTATGTGTTATAATTGATAACTTTTATGTGTTATAATTGATAACTTTTATGTGTTATAATTGATAACTTTTATGTGTTATAATTGATAACTTTTATGTGTTATAATTGATAACTTTTATGTGTTATAATTGATAACTTTTATGTGTTTTAATTGATAGCTTAAATTGTTTGGGTTTGACACTCACTAAACTAACATATCGTAAATTCGTTCTGATAGCAAACATTAGTTCTGATAGTACGATTCCAATACATATAATCCTATGTTTAAACTTGTATTACTTTTTTGTCCAATAATGAAACCGATGTCCAAGGCACAAGATAATACGATGCCTTAAAAGAAAAAAAAAAAATAGATTACAAGAAAGACTACTCTGTCGCCAAAAACGTTTTATAAGTATATCCTGGATTACCTCCCCGTAACATTGAGTTTTAATTTGTTGTTGACACAATAGTTCTTGGCAAGATATGGCCAGAGGGGGGGGGGGGTGACGAACTAACGGTGGCTAATTCTCTAACAACCAATTATGCAGATAACAATGACTACAGTGTATGTCTGCCACTATTACCGTATACAGGGCTTCTCAATCTCTAAGCTTTAAGGCACACATATAAAAGGAACCCGTCAATTTTAAATAAATTACCTTTATGGATGGTTTCCTTTATGGATGGTTACCTTCATGAATTTTTACCTTTATGAATGGTTACATGTATGAATGTTTACCTTTATGAATGATTACCTTCATGAAAGCTTACCTTTATGAACGGCCTATTATGGTATTAATGAAGGTGACGCCTAGCTTTTCAACATTTCTGTCAACCATTTTTGTTCCGTTTCATAGTTTCCATTACAGTTTTGAAACTATTTTAAATTGTTGTTTTTTCCTTTTAAAAATAATATTCAACGTCGTTTAAAACGTGTCCTTATTGTTGTCCGTATTTTATACCTTAGACCAGCCCTGTACAATATACGGCCCGCCAGGACCCACTTTGCGGCCCTTGAAGTGACTTAATTTTCTTTATTCTTATTATTTTCTTAATAACTCCCCCCCCCCCTTCAATAGTCCTATTTCCTTTTTACCCCGCACAAGTTTTTCATTAAGTATTAATGCCCACCTTACATTTTGAGTTGTGCAGGCCTGCGTTAAAACATAAGCGCAAATCCTCCCTGTATCGATTGCGCCATTCTTATAATATTTCATTATAATTTAAATGTTTGTCAATCTATGTACCAAAAGGGATGGGCTAAAAAATAGCCAACTGGTTTGGAAAATGTTTTTAACAACCGCAATTTACTTCGCAACACAATTAGAGAGAACAATCTTGAAAGTAACGTATGCATAAAATTAACCTTTTTAATGATAAAAATAACAGAATAATTATTTCCTACTAGATTTTAAACCAAAAAAATTATATTACATGACAATGTTTAAATCATGTTTCTTGTTTGTAAACTCGATTCCGGTTAGTTGAGAGGTGCTAATTTTAAAAAAAATTAAAAAGGGAATTTTTTTTTAAATGCTTGTAATCTAAATAAATTATTTCCTTTCAGTTGAAAGTACAGTCATACAGTTGGTGGATTACTGATCCATAAAATTACAACCACAAATGATTTGAGTCAACAAATGCATCTTTGTAATTTTTTTTTTTTTTAAATTTAACCAGAAGAAAAAAAAATCTTTACAATTTAACGTGTTAAAAAACAAATAATGACGACAATGGTAATTGTTGATAATAATTACTGGCAGTACATGCTCCGCTCGCTCCATTGTCCTTTAGCGAAAAAAAGCAATTTATTTGTAAATATCAAAACAATATCGATTTTCTTGCGGTATCAAATTATAATCTAACAAGTTAAATAAGATAGTTTGTCTTTTCATTTAAATAAGATAGTTACTTGTGTCCGTTATCACACAACCAGCAACCTATGACAACCTTATTTACTGGAAAGCTATCTATTTGGGACGCAGATTTTTTCACAGTAAAAACTAAACGACATGATCTCATTCTATGATCACCTTATCACCATGGGGGCCATCACTCTCGTCCGGAGCCTTCTCTGCGTCTTTGGAATCATTGGAAATGTGATAACGATAAAGGTCTTCCTTGACATCGGCGTCAAAAACGGAGTGACTGCATCCTTTTTATTCCTGTCATGCGCGGACCTCGCCTACCTTGTGTCCGTACTCGTCCACTCCGTGGCGTACGGGCTTCACCTGTATGAAGAACAGACCAGTTACCGGACGTGGTTTGCCGTTAAACCGTTCGCCGTATTTGTGTACTTTGCGAACGTCGCCAGCTGTCCGTACATGGTGACCGTTCTGACCACCATGTTTTTATCGGTCGTCCGATGCCTGGGTGTATCCCAACCGCTTAGATTCAGATCAAGTATCACGAGGACAAATGCCTTGTGGGTACTGTTTGCATTTTTAGTCCTAGCCGTGGGCAGCAGTGTTCCGTTGCTGGCGTTCATGGGGATAGTGACCCAGTTTGACGAGCGAATCAACATGTCGCGGCCCTCGTTGTGGGTCTCACCACTGAGGCAGTGGGTCAAGGACGTTACCTTTGTGGTCAGAGACGCCATCTTGCCGCTCGTCACGGAGCTCGTGCTGTCTGTTTGTGTAGTCGTCATGGCAACGTCTTTGCGTTCAGCATCAAAATTCCGCAGCCTTCACGCATCAGAATCGTCTAACATTCCCGAACAAACTTCATCATATGACCCTAAAAATGAAACTAGGTCACGTTCCAGTCGATTGAAAGTAGGATCAACTCACCTCCGGGGTAGAGATCTTCAAGTCGTCCAGCAGATGTTGCTGTTATCCGCAGCGTGCCTCATCTGTCACACTCCCAAGATCACTTACAACTGTGTGAAACTGTTTTTGCCAGACATTTCCGATGTTCTTCTGGCCAATGGAATCAGAGACTTCTTTCAGTCCATCAACTGCAGTGTGACGTTCCTGATCTACAACAAGTTTAATTCAAAATTTCACAAACGTGTCGCTTTTAAGGCATTGGTTCATACTTGACATTTTGGCTCATTGAAACGCGTACTGTTCAATGAAGGTTCCAAATTTTCTTTGAAGTCAAATACGTGGTACTCTGTTTCATTCTCCATAAAAGAAATTGTTCTGTCTGTTACATTGATTGGGGTATAGATATGACAAAATGGTTTTGTGTGAATTGTGTTATAGTGTTCAATGTTGTTTCTTTACCTCTAATGCACTGTTAGGAAATAACGCATTTTTTATAACTAGAAGAAATGAGCCATCTTTTCTTTTTTTTGGTGTGATTAAAATGGAAGGCACTATCTGCGCTACTCTCTACTTGCTGTTACGAAGTCTAAACAAGTAGAAATCTATTTTTTACTTATGTAACTAAATCTGGTTTTGGTGAATTGTATCCTAAAAACGAAATTTACTGTAATTTTCCAAGAATTTGAAAAGTAAATTTAGGAGATAGAAAACAGACTTTGTTTATTTTTAAAGAATTATTGATGTATAATGTTTACATTTATAAGATCTTGTGTGGTGAGAAATGTTAATCTCTGTATAATACATCCTCCCAAGCCACTCGACTAAAAGTTAATGTATTTTCTAAAAAAAAAAATTTTTTTATTTTTTTTTTTAATATGGAATTAATTTGTAAAATTTTATGAAGCCTTTTAAATATCTGTAAAATTATGGATTTCATAACATTAGTATCTTCATTAAAATTTGACCTCGTCGTTCTCTGGGCTCCTGAAATATCTTATTGGAAAATGTTTAAACATGGAATATTTATATATGATTAAAAATATGTTAAATTGTAAAACACAGATAGTGTATATCTGATTAGAAATATCTTAACCAATTTTCTCCATTCATTTTTTTTTAAAGTTGTATTATTAATCACATGCAAATTTACCCGCACTTTACCATACACTGTATTTTGAGCAAAGTGGAAACGTATTATATTTTTTTTTTTTTTTTTTTTTTTTTTTTAACAGAACATCTTGAACTATCATTTTTGACGCCCCCAAACACAACACAACACAACAATCCTCACCCCGAGCTGTATCTTTGGGAAAATGGGAAAGTAGTGAAGTACTTTGTTTTAAAGAAAATCCTATTCAATAGTTTCCCGTTTCATTAAGTTTTCCGGTAGTGATATACTTTTTGAACGGTATTTTTCGACATATGTATAAATCATAAATATTTTGTTCAATAAAAATGTAAAACCTTTTTTACGGGACTGTAATATTATGGGATGCAAAACATGGGCTGGTCATCAAACAGAAACCCCCTAGACTGCGGCGAAGCCACGACAGACAGTTCCGGCTGGTAAAAACAAGAAAAAAGTACAGGAGCTTCTCATTCCTGCCGAAGGCAATAAGGGACTGGAACAAGCTTCCAAAAGCAACAGTTGAGGCGGCTACCCTCGACATATTTGTGTCTATTGCCTCCTGTGTTCCAATCCCCAGTTCATAACACCACTGCTGAGTCGCCCTTGAAACCAGTGAAGCATCCCATTGAAACCCATGGACAGTAACATCGCAAACCCCTCTGAAACATAGGAGCCAGAATGATCAATTCATTGATCGAGGGCCCTCAAAATAAAGAAGAAGAAGAAGGTTGTCCCCCACGACTGCTCACAATAATACAGTCATTTCACAAAAACATGCACAGCATAGTAACTTTCAATGGCACTGTCTCTGAGTCATGCCCAGTTAGCAGCGGAGTAAAACAGGGTTGTGTACTGGCACCAACGCTCTTTTCAATTTTCTTTTCGATGCTCCTTCAATTTGATTTCAGTGACTGTGAAGATGGAGTGTACGTCCACACAAGATCTGATTGAAGACTATTCAATATATGATTGGAGGTGAAGATGCTTCTTGCATCATTACATGAGTTTCCTGTAGACTAATCGAAAGACCAAACTCCTTACACGCATGTGATAGGCGATTAACCAGAAGTTACTCGAAACGAGGCCCTCGAATCAAAAAGAACAATTTGAAAAATCAAGAATTGACCGGGTTTCAACATTCTCCTGCGAGAGATGCGGCCGTGATTGCCATTCAAGGATTGACCTAGTGAGGCACTCGTCAAAGTGTAGAACTATATAGCTACTCCATCGTCTCACGTAGACGGAAGGATGCCATCGACAGATAAATATTTAAATTTCCACTTATAAATGTACGCTCTGTCTTTCCTCACCATGAAATCGCTTGTCTCAAGAAGGCGAAATGCAGTGTTTCAATACTCTAAAGACCATCTATGCATCAATTTACGGCGCGTAATATGATTGTGCTTGGTTATTTTGCTATAAATATAATACACCAACCTCATACTGTGAGCTGCCTTGTTCCGCCCGGGGGGAGGGGGGAGGAGGAAAAACTCCCCACAAATGGCATCCCTCCCCTTCACACACAAATATTTAATCAATATTCTAATAGCCATTCATAAAAACACGACCGGGATGGTACCATCCTATGTACGCAACTGTAGACCTAGTGCACGCCACTGTAGACTTAGAGTACGCCACTGCAGACTTAGAGTACGCCACTGTGGACTATGGGCACGCCACTAAACTATATTAAAGCTATCATGTCCCAAACACGTCTTATCACGTAGTGTAAAAATTTCTCTTTGTTTCACACACCTCAACGCATATTCTTATATGTTTATAAAAAAAGGGTCAGTATTTATAAAGTAAAATACATTCCAAAGATAAAATCTATAACATAATCGGCTATGGACATCTTGATATCCATATGTACCAACCCTCACTCCCCAAAAAAAAATATTCCTGTACTTTGAAATATAAATACATCAAATGGTGTAATATATTGTTCAGCCATTTAATTATCAATAGACCATGTTTTACGCAAGTTATGTCATCATCAGTATTTTTTTTAAATTTAATTATTTTTTTTTTTAATTTTCGTTCCAATTTTAAATCTTTACAATTATTTTATAGAAAAACTTATTGGAGTTTAAAAAAAAAAATGATTTGTTAAATTTTAACGAAACAATTCTTAAAGTGTGAGTTTTTTAAAATTCCAATTTTCGAGGTTTCCCGATCATTTTTCCTTACAATAATAAAAGTAATACATCATCAATCATCAGGATGTCAATCTTATTTATTTTTAAAATCATAACTCTCACATTCAGATAAAACAATTTAAAATAATTCTTTAAAATCATTATATTAAATGTATTTTCCATTTATAATAATAATAATAATTGAATATTTCCGTCAAATAAACTAAAACTGTTTTATGAGTTTAAAAGAAAATCTATTTCGGTGCAGTAATAGAGACTTGTTATATTGTGTTCTGTTGGGCTTAAGCTTTACGGGAGGACTTTGTTTCGTTCTTAGAACCGCCAAGCAATGACGTAGACAACGCGTGAACGTCACATCTACTAATGTTACTTTAGTATTTACCTGCATTCACATATTACTTTCAAGTAACTCACTTTATAAGTATCCCATTAGTGGTACAGCACCCAGCCCAGCCCCCCCCCCCAATTCACCCAATCACACACTTTCTTTTTAAAAGCCCCTGAACATTATTCATATTCTAATGTCCAACTCAATTTCAGACCACAGATTGATTACGTAATTTATAATTTGAGTATATTTCTTTACTACAAAAAAATAAAACAAAAAACAACGTATGTTCCAAATGCAAATGTGGTAATTTTAAGAATCTAATTTAGTGTAATGATGGGGAAGTTTATTTTGCCCGAAATTTGACTCACCACTACACCCTAGTTTCTGTCATGCCGAGAGAGTCATATTAATTGATTTAGTTACTTGATTTTCCTTTTTTTTTAAATTGTGGGTGTTTCTTTTTAAAAATGAATGTCATAATACATACTTGGAGGGTGTGTACGCGTATGTAAGTATAAGTGTACTTGGATAGTGTGTACGCGTATGTAAGTATATAAGTGTACTTGAATAGTGTGTACGCGTATGTAAGTATGAGTGTACTTGGAGATTGTGTACGCCCTAATGTAAAGTGTCTTTGAAAGAGTAAACATCAAGTTTAACAAGTCATACAAATCTTGTTTATTTATTTTGGTAATGGAAATTTAGTTTAGATACTTAGTACTTGATCAATTTTGATTTTAATGCTAAACAGAGAAATAATAGAAACTTGGGGGGGGGGGGTTGTCGTCAAGTACTCAAACTTCATGATGATTTCAGATGAAAGGTTTTGAGTTATCTTTCAAGCAAGTCTGATATGTTATTAAGCTTTATCTGCCTGATCGGAAGTTATGCCGCCATCTTTGATTTCTTAGCTACAGTTGTAAATTGGAACATGTATTTTAATTCACCTTTAAGCGAATTTCGAGGAAAGATCTGAGGGCAGAACTTTGTCTGCTGTGCACCAAATCCCGTACACAGACATTCATACGCAGACATTCATACGCAGGCATTCATACGCAGACATTCATACGCAGACATTCGTACACAGACATCCATACGCAGACATTCATACGCAGACATCCATACGCAGACATTCATACGCAGACATCCATACGCAGACATTCATACGCAGACATTCATACGCAGACATCCATACGCAGACATTCATACACAGACATCCATACGCAGACATTCATACGCAGACATCCATACGCAGACATTCATATGCAGACATCCATACGCAGACATCCATACGTAGACATTCATACGCAGACATTCATACGTAGACATCCATACGCAGACATTCATACGCAGACATCCATACGCAGACATCCATACGCAGAAATCCATACGCAGACATCCATACGCAGGCATTCATACGCAGACATCCATACGCAGACATCCATACGCAGACATTCATATGCAGACATCCATACGCAGACATTCATATGCAGACATCCATATGCAGACATTCAAACGCAGACATTCATACGCAGACATCCATACGCAGACATTCATATGCAGACATCCATACGCAGACATCCATACGCAGACATTCATACGCAGACATTCATGCACGTTTTTGTCGCCCGTGTCAAACTAATGTCAAAAATATATTTTTCGGTGTACTTTTTCGTTGTATTTTTCCCGTTGCCAGGGGTTCCTTCACAGTTAGAACTATTCTCCCCTTAATATTTTGACGACACAGTGTAGCGACTAGTGCATGTAGAGTCTACATTATGTCTTTGCTTATCTCCGATAGCAAAAATATATATTAAAAAAACATGGACTGGTCAAAAAAATTTTTACAAGACATAACGCCATCCGCGTATCTTCCGGACAAAAGAAGGGTTAGTCAAACATTTGGGATTTTAATGCCAAAAGACTGTCTTTTATAAGCGTCTAAGTCAGAATGTCAGTAGTCTTTTACTTCTAGGCAGCATGATCTCAAATATTTAGGTCAGTTGAGGCTAACGCCTCAGTCGAAACCGGGATGATTAACCTTCAGTGACAGGGATGATGGCCTTCAACACTTGGATCGCTTTCGGCTTGGGTCTCGCCACACGACAATGGCGTCTGTACTTGGCGCTGTACTTGTAGTAGATGAAAATGTGACAGCTGGAGTGCACGGTGCGGAAGAAGTACTCCAGGCTGATGGCGGTCATGTAGATGTTGCTGTAGGGCCTGCCCAGGCCGAAGTCAGGCTCCAGCAGGCTGACGAAGGAGACGAACATCTCTGGGATGTTGCACACAACGAAAACCACTGAAATCAGAATCATCTGCTGAACTATCCTGAGATCTTTTGCGCAGAGTTTTACGGAAATTTCCGTTGTCCCACTTGTATTCTTAACTGTTGGACGTTCACATGGGTGCGCAATGGTGTGAATGATGGGAATTTCCGCTGATTGATGAACATGTTGAGCGAGTTCAGCAACATGGAAATGCGATTGTCTGAACCTCGTGGAGGCGAGAAGGCGTTCGGACATAACCGTTGCGCAGATGATGACCGTGAAAAGCGTAGCCACTGGGAGAACCACGTCTCTGATCGTCCACACGATCTTCTTTACAAAGTCCCTCTGGGGAGATATCCACAAAAGAGGTCTGGTGGCATTGATTTTGGGGTCGAATCCCGGTAACATGGCCATGTACACAAGAATTGGAACATAGGTTGCTACTGACAAAATGGCGAGGGACGAGAGTATTATAACAGACAGTCTCGTTGTGAAGGTGGTTTTGAACTGCAGAGGTCTAGCCACACACATGCACCGCGTGACGGCCAGGTACGTTGTGGTCAGAGCCACCATCGTGTACGGAATTCTCCCAGCGTGTCCGAAAAATACGTAAACACCGTAAGGATCCACAGGGAACCACATGGAAAACCCACGTGTGTTTTCGACCACGTAGAAGACGAAGCTCACCGCCCGCGAAAGCATGGCGATCAGATGCAGGAGGTCGAAGACGGCCATGAACAGCATCGTGACCACCATGCTGTCGCTGATGCCCATGGAAATGAAGGTGTCGATGTTGATGATGTTACCGGCTGCTCCCAGCACGGACAGCACAGACCGGACCACACAGAAGAAACCCTCCAGCAGCATGTACTCCTTGTCGGTGAGAAAGTCTCGCTTTGGGTTAAGACAACTTGTTGCGACAGTCGCCTCGGTTAAGTTCTCCATCTTGACCTGAAAGCTTCGATATCCAGGGAATGGTTATGTTCTAACCTGCATCGTTTTCTTTACTTAAGAACGAGACAACAGCTGGCGTAAACAAAATTTAGAAAAGTTCGTTACTAAATTCTAATAATAACGGTTTCATAAGAAGGTATTAAAATTAAGTTTTGTCAGAAAAGATCATTGAAATACTTTACCTACAACAATCCTAATTCACTTTTTATAAACATCATAACTACACCTATAATATGCGGAGAGAGATTTTTATTTTTATATTATGAACAAATTGAGGCACAATGTTCGTGAACACTAACTTCCTTCCAAAAGTCCTTGAGATTTTATAGGGGAATATTTTAATAAACATTTTTTTTAAAAAAATGAAAATGAAAAAATATTTAAAAACCAAACTTCAAGGATTTAAAGATAATCAAAAGAACCAACACCGACCAATTACGACCATCGATTATTTTATTCACAGAATTATATTTAAAGATCATTTTTGTCTGTTGATTCACTCAAATAAAAGCCAACATCATTTTTCAAGGCCCTTTATTTGCCTTGATCAAACACAAGAGAGATTTGCTTTGAGCCCAGTCCTGTGTTTAAATTGAACACTGATCCACTTCATTTTTATTTTGTTTACACCTGCAAAGTCCTCAGACCGTTAAATACACTCGATGGCTCGACGTGGGGTAAAAATCAATAGTGATATGTGGTTTAGTAAAACAATGTGGCATAAAAAAAACACCCTAATTTGAAGTGTCGTTACATGTTAAACAGATACGTCACGCATTTAAAATAAAATTTGAGCTACAATCGCGCCCATTTTCTTCTTTTCTTTTAATACGTTTGGATGGTTTATTTATTTTATAAATCGTCCTTGACCTACAATGATTTTGAAACCTAGGTTGGATTGCTTTGTCAGCCCACATGTCTGTGTTAATTTATGTAATGTAGTTCTTGTGGTGAGCCCACATGTCTGTGTTAAATTATGTAATGTAGTTCTTGTGGTGAGCCCACATGTCTGTGTTAAATTATGTAATGTAGTTCTTGTGGTGAGCCCACATGTCTGTGTTAAATTATGTAATGTAGTTCTTGTGGTGAGCCCACATGTCTGTGTTAAATTATGTAATGTAGTTCTTGTGGTGAGCCCACATGTCTGTGTTAAATTATGTAATGTAGTTCTTGTGGTGAGCCCACATGTCTGTGTTAAATTATGTAATGCAGTTCTTGTGGTGAGCCCACATGTCTGTGTTAAATTATGTAATGCAGTTCTTGTGGTGAGCCCACATGTCTGTGTTAAATTATGTAATGTAGTTCTTGTGGTGAGCCCACATGTCTGTGTTAACTTATGTTTAGCCTTGACTGACGTCATGTAGTTCTTCTGGGTCTTGCAGTTCAAATCATCTCTCAACACAACCGTCAACTGATTCCCACTTTGTTCAAGGTGTTGACCAGAGATTGCATTCCCACCAAGGCTCAACCGTAGTAGGAACGAACGTGAGTACAGGTGACCTTTGCCACATCGCGGCTCACATTTCGCGGCATCACTGTACTGCGAATTTTTTACTTGCATATATCTGAGATAGATACTGTAAGGAACCTTGCTTACTCTCGGACAAACTTCATCTAGATCTGGTACACAATAAGTAAACAACTCCGGTGATACATTTGATCATTAAACTCGTGTTCTTTATTTGATCTCTCACTTGCTTACACTATCACTCATCTCCCAACTCTGACTTCTCCCTGCTCTCTCGTTTCTAGTCCGTCTGCCTTCTTCCCTATTTATACCTCCCCGTCCCATAGTTCCTCTCCCAGTCCCGATTATACCCCGCCCCCCTTTTTCTCAATTGTCGGTCTAGACGTCCCAGGTAAATGCCCTGGTCAGATGGATGGCCGTGTCTGGGTGTCAGATGGCCGTAATTGGTCAGGCGTTTGATCCTTGGGTCCGTCGTGCTCCACAAGCTTGATCCTTCGGTCAGACGGATTACGTCAGGCGCCGTCGTGGTCCGGCGCTCGTGCGTGGTACGACTCTCCACAAGCTTGGGTGGTCAGACGGATTTACGTCAGGCGCCGTCGTGGTCCGAACTCTCCACACTACCCATATGTAACGTTATATGTTGTTAAAATTGCTTATGTTTAAGACTTAAGAGAGTATTCATGAGCATAATTTGTTTATAAGAGTGTGGGAATTGTAAATGTTAAGTGCTTCAGGGTATATTATGATAGCCTTTTGTTTAGAGATTATATGTGTTGCTTCATCTAGTATGCCTAGTATTTTGTGATTTATTTTGTGGGAATGGGGAAATGACGTATTGTTTTTGTGTTGTGTTACCTTTTGAGTAATGGCATTTGACCATTTAGTTAATAAAGAAACTGTATTTGAAAATTAAAACCCAATGGTTTGTGAAGTTAAAATAATGAAACCCTAGACAAAACGTGGCCATCGAATCTTTGGAAGAATCGGTTCGTACCGCGTAGATTTAAGAGTTGGGAACCTGTTTATGATCATAAACATTTTTTGTATAAGAGTGTGAAAATTGTAAAATTGTGGAAAAGTTTATATGAGTGTTGGGAGGGTCTATAAAATCTTTAAACTTAAAAAAATATTAAATTAAATTCAAGGTCGTTACCTAGGTGCATTTTTGTCTATCGAAGGGGGGGGGTCCCTTTGTAAACAGACCCCCACCCCCCTCGGGAGAAAGACGAGGGACCCCTGTATTGTAAAATAAGTGAGAAACGGCTGCCTCATTTGTAGTGTTAAATTTAAAAAAAGAAAAGAAATATTGAGTTCCGCTTTTGCTTTTAACAATCTTAAAAAAATTAATTGATTGTGTGCACTCTTCTCGACTTAAGAACGCGGTCTGTGAAAAAGGATTGAAATTAAGAAAGGGTAATCTTCTATTCGATACCGTTGTACGTTCCGGTGCAAGAATTCATCCAAGGGAAGTTGCAGATACTGTGCTAAAAAATATACTTAATGGTGCTATAATATTCAAGTATTTTAAATTGGAAAAATATGTCTCCGACTTGGAGGTCTGATTCAATAACCTTAAAAATATTATATTATCTTAGACCATTATCTGATTAGCCAACTCTAATGAGCCAACTCTAACGAGCCAACTCTAATGAGCCAACTCTAATGAGCCCACTCTAATGAGCTAACTCTAATGAGCCAACTCTAACTATCATTAGCAGCCAGAATATGATTTTCTTTAACAGCATTTTTTAACAATATTTATTTTTTCACTGTCCACACGAAATCTAACCACAGCTCAAAACCAACGAATTCAGCAATTTAGTTAATGGTTTATTTAAAATAATGATGTAATCAGCACAATACTTGGTTGAAAGTGCGTCTCCCATACCACCATACCACACAACTTTGAAAAATAATGTGTTATTAATGAGCAAAGAACAAATTAGGAGAAGTTTATATTTTTATTTTTTTTACATCAATTTTTTTGTTTGTGGTGAAATCTAAAAATAGAACCGTTAGCCGTTGACAGTGCGTCACAAGAAGTACAGGGGAGTAGCGCGAGCTTGTAACGACCTGGTCGGTTCTTCATCTACTGCCCCAAACTAACGAACATAACAAGAAGGCAAATACAGAATTTTCTAAATCAAGTGTTTGGGTGGACTGAAATGTCATCATTAAATGAGGACCGCCTCCCCCCTCGCAAATCCTCACTCTCCCTCCTCACTCTCCCTCCTCACTCGCCCTCCTCACTCTCCCTCCTCACTCTCCCTTCCCTTTCTCCCTCCTCACTCTCCCTCCTCACTCTCCCTCCTCACTCTCCCTCTTCACTCTCCCTCTTCACTATCCCTCCTCATTCTCCCTCCTCACTCTCCCTCCTCACTCTCCCTCCTCCCTCTCCCTCCTCACTCTCCCTCCTCCCTCTCCCTCC